ATATGCAGATTTTAATCTCGTATTAATCTAAAATTGAAATGTTTGAAGAAATTGAAAATTTTGTTGTTTATAAATTGTTAGTCCACATAATATTATCCGAAAAAGATGTATTTTCTCCACATTTGTTACTTTTTTGTTTGAATGGTTCCAGTGAAAATAAAAATTGCTCCTTTTGACCAGCAGTAAATAAGTGAAAACGATTTAACAAGTCAGAAAAAACTGGGAAGTGAATATAAAGAGGTGAAAGATCCTGAGAGATAGAGAGAGAAATTCAGAGTGAGCACACAAGGTTGGTGAAAGATCCTTTTTTTAATCCTCCACAATCTCTCTGCAATTTCTCCACGAAATTCATTAATTATTTTTCACTAAATCATTCTCTGAATCATTTCTTCCCTTAGATTTGCTTACTCTTGACTGTAATTTATGCTTTACTCTTTCTAAAAGATCTGCGTTTTCTTTGATTCGGGGTTTAAATCAAGAACCTTTATACACAGTTCGTCGTCTCTGTGGAACTATCACGGATCCTTCTTTTTTTAAAAGAAAATCATCGCCTTTTGATTCCTTTCTTCTAGGGTTTTAACTTTAGGTGTGTGTTCTTTTTTTCTTTGCAATTCTTTCTTCTGGGTTTTATCTGCTGATAGTGTTTGTCACTTTTCTTCTGGGTTTTGTCTTTTTTCAAGAACAGGAACAACAGTGAAGTCGGATTATTGGGTCTGCGAGAAGTAATCGGAGTAACAAAAAGGCGTTTGTAACGCGGATTTATGTCGGCTGTGTCTGATTCGGCTGTGATTTCGTCTCTGTCTCATATCTCTTTTCCGATTCAATCGTCTGCAACCTCTTCTGCTTTGTTCTTTGGTCTGACCACTGTTCTTAACGCTCTTCGCTTCTGCTCAAAGCAGAGGTTTATTCTTGAGGTCCCATCGATTTCCATGGGCTTAAGACCTAAAAGGTATGGCCTTTCCTCTTTCTTCTGTTCTGTGTGAATCTTTTACAGACAGAATAGAATCTAAAGATTTGTTCTTGGTTGATTCTGGGTTTTGATTTTGTGCAGGACTTGTTCTGGCGTTGAAGTATTTCGAGGGTTTCACAAAAAGCAAAAATTACCCTTTTTCATAGTTCGTTGAAATAAAGCTTGAGATTTCTTATAAACCCTTGAGCAGCTTTTGATCAGAGATTTTGTGTGGGGCTTTTGCGGTTTGAAGAAGTGTGAATCAGATATGAAGCCCAATAGAAAAGTTTTGTTGAGAAAAGTCCGTATTATTGTCAATGACCCTTATGCGACTGATGATTCCTCTGGCGATGAATGGATCGAGTTACCTAAACCTCCAAAGGTAAAGCGTATTGTTCATGAGATTACTGTCCCCTTTCAGCTCTCTGTGAGTTCTCAGGATCGTTGCGGAACCACTAGAAAGAGAGCTCCTAGGCAATCTAACAATCCTGTGGGAGTTAGGCTGAGGCAATCTAGCAATCCTGTGGGGGTTAGGCTGAGGCAATCAGGCAAATGGGCTGCTGAGATTAAAAACCCAATCACTAGAACTAAGAAATGGTTGGGTACTTTTGAAACTCGTGAAGAAGCTGAGAAGGCGTATGCTGACAAGAAACTTGAGTATGATGCATTGGCCTCCTCTTCATGGCCTGTTGTTTCCACATCGGTTGTATCAGTGAGTAGTCAGTGCTTGCGTTCTCCTTCTGCATCTGCTCCTTGTGCCAGTGTCGATGATTTGTCGAAAGAAAAGGTCAAAGATGCATACGCTGCTTCTGGTGATTCAACCAAGGAAATGTTCTTCAATTTCGACTTTTCGGATCTGCAAATCCCTGATCTGAGCTTCTTAGCAACAGAAGAGGAGTCTATGGTTTCTAGCGCAAATGGCGAGGACCTAGACTTTGATTCTTTCCTTATGGATGAGGACTCGGCTCATCTGCTGGATGATTTCTCTTTACTCGATAATGATATCAACATTGACGGGTTTGAAAACAGTGTTCCAAGTGAGCTACCTGACTATGATTTCACAGATGGGGAACTCGAGCTTGGTGATTCGACCAAGTTTGCCTTTGCAGATCAACTGGCACCGCCTCTCAATGTCGCTTACCCCTGAAGTTTTGCAGCTCATAGGATTTTACCATATTATATTAGTAGTCGTTTCTATCAAAAGACAAACAAGGTTTCGTTTAGGAGTTGTTAGTTTCGTTTGGTGTTTCAC